GAGCTCGGGGCCGGCCCGCAGCGCGGGGCTGCAGGCACCTCTGGCCGGGCACTTCCCTGGGCGGTGTCAGCCGGGCATCGCGCCCGCCGCAATTCCCAGGCTGGCCACTTCTCCCCGGCCCGCCTCCGCCCTCCCGGCCTCCCTCGTTCCCTGCGTTTTCGGGATGCAACTTCGGCGTGGGTGGGGAAAGGCGGGATCGCTGCCCCTGGGACCCTGAGCTCGCCCCTAGTCAATGGTCCTCTGTGTGTGTCTTTCAGAGCCGCCTTTTCTTAAGCAAACATGCACCGAACAACCAGAATCAAAATAACAGAGCTAAACCCCCACCTCATGTGTGTGCTCTGCGGCGGGTACTTCATTGATGCAACAACCATCATACGTGGGTGGGGAAAGGCGGGATCGCTGCCCCTGGGACCCTGAGCTCGCCCCTAGTCAATGGTCCTCTGTGTGTGTCTTTCAGAGCCGCCTTTTCTTAAGCAAACATGCACCGAACAACCAGAATCAAAATAACAGAGCTAAACCCCCACCTCATGTGTGTGCTCTGCGGCGGGTACTTCATTGATGCAACAACCATCATAGAGTGCCTCCACTCCTGTAAGTACAGTCGGGGGCTTCGCGTTGTCCCTGCGCCGCGTCGCACCTTTCCCGGGCCGCCGGGATAAAGGGAGCTGGGCGCTGCGACATCAATATGTAGATCCGCGCCAAAGATGATTTGCCCACGTTTCGACAAAAGTCATAATCTTTGTGAACGTGGTTTCTATATGTACATACACTCGGGGCGTCTGTTTCACCTTAATTGCAGCTAATTAGATTACTTGTTTAGCTTAAGCTGCGCATTTTCTGACAGTGGGCCTTTTATTAGCATGTGTAGTGTAAAAACTGCACCACTATTCATATTTGAGTAACGTCTGATAATATTACTAAAAGCCTTATGTATTTTTACTTATAGTCTGTAAGACGTGTATCGTACGTTACTTGGAAACAAGCAAGTATTGTCCTATATGTGATGTCCAAGTTCACAAAACCAGACCGCTTTTGAATATAAGGTAGGGGAAAAGTGCATTTTTACTTTACAAAAGGAATCTAGCAGTGAATATTTTGATGTTATCTCTTCATCTACAATTTAAATCTGAGAGGAGTTGTCAAATTTACATGCTAACGTATGCCTATATGCTATCCTTGGAGTCTTGTCATAGACTGAAATCGAAGACTTGACTACGTGCGAGACCGAAAGTTTTTGTATTTTATTTGAATACTCTAAGTGGTGAACAATGTCCTGTCCCCTCTCCGTATTTATCACACTTCCATATTGTGTATCTCCATTTTCCATTTCACACAAACATGCTGCCGTACAACCTCTCTTTACTGCTCTTCAGAAACATAAAATATCTTGATGAAACTTAAAGGAAAAGTTAAACTTTAAAAAACCCTCTTCATTTAGCAGTAGCCTTCATTGCTTCTTTATGATGTTTATCTCCTTATTTTGGTTGGTGGTTACACGTTTCTAAAGGCCTTCATTTAGACTGAGTGAACAGTGCACTAGATTACTAGTGGACAGAAAATATTTTCTGTCAGGGGTTCAATTTAATATAACAGCGTTTTATTTTTGTAGAACTTATGGTCTGTTAGACGTGTTTAGCACTTATTATAAATGGAGAATTGTAACTTGTATTCAAGTATTGCTTCATTTGCTTATTTGTATTTTGGATTTTTTGTTGTTGTTTAGGTCAGATAAAACTCTCCAAGATATTGTGTACAAATTAGTACCAGGCCTTTTCAAAAGTAAGTAAGAAAGCATATAGTAATACATAACTACTGAGTTGCTTTTTGCCTATGGTAACAGAGAAATTAAATGAATCATATATGCTTTTCCATCCAGATGAAATGAAAAGAAGAAGGGATTTTTATGCAGCTCATCCATCAGCTGATGGTAAAACTTTCTAGTTTATGAAACCTTTAGTAAAAATAACATATATTTGACCTTATACTTAACAGCTAAGATATCTTGATATTTCACCTCTCATTTACAAATTATGTAACCATAAAATATATGTAAGACCCCCTAGATTCAGCTTTCTGATTCAAGATATAATAATGACTACTTTAAATAATCTAATACCTTAATGTTTTCCCTTGTTACTGAGAACTGGCCATTCTGTCTGATTTTAATTTTAAAATATAAACTGTTGTGGAAATTTCTGTGCAGCTGCCAATGGCTCTAATGAAGACAGGGGAGAAGTTGCAGACGAAGACAAAAGAATTATAACCGATGATGAGATAATAAGCTTATCCATTGAATTCTTTGACCAGAATAGGCAAGTTCTATCGGCAATATTTTATGTTTATCTATATTAACAGCTCTCTATATTATTTGTTGTAATTGTTTCATTGTTTCCCCCAGACTGGAACGAAAAGGAAATAAAGAGAGAGAGAAATCCAAGGAAGAGGTAAATAACCTAGCTTTATGCTGACAAAAAAACCAAAACCAGTTTGGCGTGTGAGCTAAATAAATAATTATATCTTCCAGAAGAAACAAACCCCACAAAAAGATATTAAACAGAGGTTTGCAACACTCTCTTGGAGCTGTAAATAGAAATTACTTTTTAGACAAGAGAGAGACTGTTAATACTTTTCAAATGGAAACTGAAGTAGTTTACTTTTAAACTTTAAATGCCATTTATTATAAGAAAGACAAGTTGAATTTTTAAAATATAATCACTTTTAAAAAAAGATTTAGTAGAGATATATCATCTGTTTTAGCACTCATACAATTATATATATAATATTTTATTTGTCTCTGAAAGTTTATTTTATTTCCAATTTTCTTCATAAGGAATTCTCAATAGAAATGTTAAAACTGTAGTTGGTCATTTTATAAAGTTTGTACACTTTTATTCCATTATAACTCTGTCACTCTAAATGAAATAGTTAAAATTTTGCTGTTTGTTCTCAGTTCATGAACTGACTTTTTCCAAATATGCTGTTAGGTGAATGATAAAAGATATTTACGCTGCCCAGCTGCAATGACAGTGATGCATCTAAGAAAGTTTCTCCGAAGTAAAATGGACATACCTAATACTTTTCAGGTACCTGGATATTTTAAAAAATGTAGTTAGTCTTCTTACTCTAAACCTGCCAGAGCTGGTTAGTTTTTATTGCCTTTGTCCTTCTTTTTTATTTATTTTAAAGTGGGTTTCTGATTAGCTGTTTAATTCAGAACCAGAAAATAGTAAGTACTAACTATTTAAGAATGTACAATGTAATATTTTGTAGGAATAAGAACATTTATCCCAGAGAAATACTTGTATTTATTCTGTAATTTTTAAACGTTATTGCTGCTCTCTAAATACTGAGGAAATTATTCTGCATGCATTTTTTTAAATATTAAATACTCTTTTCATATGTGCCAGTTAAATGGTATATGTCAAGAGTTCTTCTTTGCTGTGAAGTTTTGGAGTAAAATGTTTTGAAGTCCCTTTGATAATATTGCTTTCAGATCAATTTTACCTGGAAGAAAAATATAGTCTGCTCTAAATAATTTTATTCTGATGCTTATTAATAGAAGGGTTAATGTCTTAAATAGATCGATGTGATGTATGAGGAGGAACCTTTGAAGGACTACTACACACTAATGGATATTGCCTATATTTACACTTGGAGAAGGGTAAATACCTGCCATTCCTCTTCTCACGCCGTGATCTTTCCTGAAGCAGACTATGTGCTTATCGTGCCTTCCCTTTGTTTTGCAGAATGGACCTCTTCCTCTGAAGTATCGGGTTCGGCCGACTTGCAAAAGAATGAAGATCAGCCACCAGAGAGAAGGCTTACATAATAGCGGAGAACTAGAAAGTGACTCTGGGAGTGACAAAGCAAGCAGCCCAGCGGGGGGCATCCCCTCCACTTCATCTTGTTTGCCCAGCCCCAGCACTCCTGTGCAGTCTCCGCATCCTCAGTTTCCTCATATCTCTAGTACTATGAATGGAACCAGCAGCAGCCCCACCAGCAATCACCAGTCCTCTTTTACCAACAGAGCACGGAAAACATCAATAAATGGCTCTTCAGCAACTTCATCTGGCTGATACCTCAAACAGACTGCGGAAAACCCTGATTTATATAGGTCTCTTCATGCCATTACAGCTTTATAGATGCAAATCCATGTGACTATCATCCAGATCGCTTTCTTTTGGAGTAACACCGGACTTGGTTATGAAAGATGGACTAGGTGACTGATCATGTGGACGTTAATTACAACGAAAGATTGTTCTTCTGTAAAGAATTATTTTCAAAAAACTTGGAAGCAAACAGAAGTGTACCACGATGTGTTTAGGAAAGAGGTGGAGTGTTTCTGTCATCATTTGGACGTGGGAACCTCTGACAGTGGATACAAACGTTGGGATGTAGTTTGTTAATCCAGACTAACTCCTATGTTACATTCTCTTCGATTGTTATTGTTATTATGCTGTTTTGTGAACCTGTAGAAAGCAAGTGCTTTTTCATCTTGAAATTCAACAAAATGGAAAGAATATGCATAGAATAATGCATATATGTAGCCATGTCACTGTGAATAACAATTTCTTGCATATTAGCCATTTTGATTATGTTGCATCCTTACTTTTCTGTTGCTGCGCAGAACCGATCAAAATGAAAGTAAACTTCAGTTTTATAATTTGTATGCCTAAAAGCGGGTATTACCGTTTTAGTTACTGACTTGTTTAAATGATTCGCTTTTGTAAGAATCAGATGGCATTATGCTTGTTGTACAATGCCATATTGGTATATGACATAACAGGAAACAGTATTGTATGATATATTTATAAATACTATAAAGAAAATATTGTGTTTCATGCACTCATGATATGGTTGTTAAATTTCCAAACTGGTTCGACCCTTGCAGATGCCTGCCACCTGTTTGAATTCTGCTGATCTCGCAGAGAATACTTTGTGTGTGAAAGCTTCAGTATTTGAGAGCTAACACAAAGATCTGTTAATCTGACAGCAACTGGCAATCCTACTATGATTTATGGGCTTTATCTTGTTTCAAGTGATATATTTTTACTTTTATCCAAGGATACTAATAGTTTAAATGGTGCAGTGAAGAAAAAATAAGGAAAATGGAAGTGATTTATAAGTTTGGTTAGTTTTATTTGGTGTGATGGTATTGTGTTTTTTAAAAAGCACATGGAATCATTATAGAAGCCATTAAATATGTGGTATAAATTTTAAGGAACCAGCAAGTTGCTGGATGAAGGCATTTTATCTAAATTTGTTTTAATATATACGTATATGGTACAGTACTAACTTCATTAAAATTTAGCAGGTACTTTAATATCTCCAGTAAACTGTGGCGAATGCCTCCTTTTTAATGTTCTGCAAATAGGAGCATTTTACCAGAGGCTTCCAGAAGTTGTTTGAACTAGAAGGAACAGTTTCAACTAAAAATATGAACAGCCCCGAGCACTTGTCAGTTTGTGCTTTGCTTTGGTCGAACTTCCTGTGTGTTCTTCACCCATCATTTATACATTTGTGAGGGTGTTTATTCTATATGGATATTGTTTCACGTTTGTACGGGAAAATTGTAGTTAAACATTTCATTGTCTCCAGTCTGCAACAGAAGCACAATTCTATTGCTTTGTCTTGCTTATAGTCATTAAATCATTACTTTTGCATATAAATTGCTGTTACTTGTCCTGCTTGTTTTTATAGATCAGGTGACTGCAAATCCTCACGGGGATTATTGATGTATAATGTCTTGTTAAACGAGATTTGATATTTTTCCTGTAGTAAACATGTACAGTTCCATTTCTGCAGTTAAAACGTTCAGTTTTATACACAGGAATATCATTTATAGTTGATCAAAGAACTAAACAAATAAAAGGGATACTTCATTGAAGAGATACTAAATGAGCTTTGTTAATCATGTGCTATCAAAAGACAATTAAAATGTTGTTACTAAATACTGCGTGTGCATGACAGGTTTGGATAAATAGAACACATCACCTCAGAAAGAAAAAACCACACAATTCTTGTCTAAACAGTGAATGTATAGTAAACAAGGAGTGGGTTAGGGGAAACTGGTTTTCTTTTTCACGTGAATAGTTCTTGTGACTAAGTGATTAATGCTTAAATTTTGACAAAGGAGATTTTTCTTCATATCCTTTCTACCCACACTTCAGGAATGATGGGAGAGGGGTAGTGGGGGAGGGTGTTTCTCCAGCTCTAAATTACTTTTTTAAAAACTTCAATGAAACAAAATACTTTTTTTAAAAAAGTAAGGATAGTTAAATCCCACGGAGAATTGTCTTGGCTTGGTTCCCTATCCTATATAAAATATGAATTAATTCACCACAAAGGCCGACATTGAGCCCAAAACACTGGATTGCACATAAATCAAACTAAACTTCTTTATTTTGGAACCAGTTCAATAATGACAAATGTTGCAATAAAAACGGAGTTAATTCTGGTATATGCAACCTTTCCATGAAGAATAAGTTCAATGAAACGTGAGTTGGCGACTTCCCTTCAGCATTTACAATATTTCTTCGGTACACGGGACTTGACTTCAGACAGTATTTCTAAAAATGATAAGCACCTCTATATAACGGAGCTGTAGCATGTTTCTTCTTCCCTAGAAAATGTTTTGCTACATGCTGTTTAGTTATACATGTATATTGCTAAATGTATTTGGGGGAAGGGGAATCCAAGATAACATCTTGATGCTCTACATCAAAGCATTTCAATAGTGTTCCTTGGCTTCACAAGACTGCTTTAGCAGCTAAAATGCACTGTCGCTGGGAGAAGTATAACTAAGCCTGTAAGAGATTCAAAATAGCCTGTGAAGATGAAATGGGCATTTATTGCGATGATACAAGAGACGCCTCGTATTCGGCTTAATCGTAAAGATTATTATTAACGGGCAAGTAAGCCGAAGTGTGCGATGTGCAATTGCACTTGCAGTAAAAACATGTTCCTCAGTCAAGTCTGTCCTATACATGGACAAAGTTTAATAAAGTTTTATTTTGCACGCATAGAAACATTACGTTGTTCATTGCTCTTTGCTCCAAAATTGTGTTCTGGTTCAGCTTCACGTTGCTCCACGCACAACTTTTGTGTCACTCAGAAGGGCGCACGCGAATGGAATTGTCCTCTCGGGCCACTCTTTTGAAAAGTATTTAAGGACTTTCCTCCCATAAGTAGAATAGTGTCCCCTGAGTTACGATGCATTGCTTAAACCACTCGATCCATTGTCTTTCAATAGGCCAATATCAACTTGCGACCGTAGCAGTTCCAAGCAGAACTCCAAGGAGCCCTTTAGAGTCACGTAATTAAACAGGACTCAGAAAGCAAAGAAGCTTCTTTCATTCGCATGCCAAGGTGCCTGCGGAAAAAAAGGCATCTCTTTTTAGATAACTTGGCTCAAAGAAGCTTTTCTTCAGTTCTGTAGAACTGAATGGAGGCACTGAGACTATCACATTCAAAGGCAAGCGTTAGATAAACATTGGTGAACAGTGCAGGTAAATTTCTTCCGTCCATTCTCCGACGCTATCCAGTATGTCACTTCATCTCCCACTGTCACTTCTGCCAAAGAATTGACAGGTTTCGTTAGGAATTTTCAATGAGAAGTCACAACTCTGCAGGCTGTCACGGACTAACATTGGGGGAAAGCATGAATGCTCTAGGGTTTTTTTTTATTATAGCTTTATGACTTACAAGCGACCCTTCATTAGTGACTCCGGCTCCGAATCTATTGTATGTATCCTTTTATCATATATAGCTGGTTATTACCTTGCAAAACATCACAAGTGAGCTCTTGCAGTTCCGACCTTTACCACCAAACAGATTCACAAAGATTGGGTTCTCTAGATGCACATGTACAACGGGCTTCCGCTCTCTAGCTAGACAGAGGAAAGCAGGGGCAACCTACACCGTGTGTTACCTGCTGCAGTACCCTGGTCGTTCTCCTCCATGCAAGCACCTTCTGCCCACTTACTTTTGATACTGTGAAATTAGGAGACAATGTTTACATAGATAAGTGTTTCCTGTTTCCGCTGTTAATTTTTAACGTCCTTGCTTCTACTCTGGGTACTTGAAACGGATTTCCTTTATTTTAGTATAAGCAGTTTCTTTTTCTTCATGTTATCTTAATAGTTCCTATACAAAGAATGCCCCTGCGATTATTTACAGGCGTATCTAAGGGTCTGAAGACATTAAGTGTTGCGATCTTAAAATCGTTACCATGTTAGGAAATCCCAACGGGACAGCTCCTTTAAATATCTTATGAAATCAAATTCTGATATCACGGTTTTCCAGATTTGCTTCTCGCATTCCCTTTTCTGCCACCCAACAGAAGAGTCACAGGAGGACAAATAAATAAATAAAATAAACCAAACCCTAACTCCTTCCAGAGCCTCGGGCGTCATCTCAGTGCCTATTGGCTTTGCATACCTATATTTAGTTAATGCACCGATTAACTGTATGCATTTAAAGCTGTCAAACGCGTGGCTAAAGGAAGGGCCCACAGATACAATGGGGGCTCTTTTCTCGAAAAGAAGAAAGGAAACTTGCACTCTGTTGTTGCTTTGAAGCTGGACTGCAGCATGCAAATGTCTTGAAAGCTTGAAGAGAGCCACGGAGGCGATTTTGGAGCGTGAGCCTGGTTACCGAATTAGGGCTAGGACGTTCTCCTTTCAGTTCCTGTGTGCCTAGCTACAGATGTTAATAGGAGCCACGCAGCGGGCGCCTTTTTAGTTCTCTCTCTCATCTGCACCTCGCATTGAAACTAATGCCCGTACTTTCATGTGGTAACTGGCACGCATGTTCCTTCTCGAGTTTGGAGGAAGCGAAACTAGCGTTGTTCAGCGCCGAGGATGAATTGTTTTGTGTTTTGAGGGGAAGTGCAGGGGATGAAAAGCAGCCCTGGGCTCCTGGGAGGTTTGATTTTCCTGAATTAACGCGCGGTTATGTGAAAATAACCCCCACGGCTTCTTCCTTTGGAGCGGTGATCGTCAAAGAAAATATGTGGCATCTGCAAATTCTCCCCACCCACTCCGTGCGCTCCGGGTTTGCTCAATGCCTCCACTGAAGCGTACAAGGCTCCTAGCTGCGGAGGCTCAGACTGGAGGGAGGGGAGGAGAGGCCATCTTGCGCCTGCGCAACTTGGCTCGTCGTTCGCCTGGTGAACTTCCCACTTCTCTGCCGCCAGATTCAAATGGGCATGTTCAGGCCGCGCACAAGGCAGAGGGCGACGGAGGGTGATTGAAATCAGGGCGCGGGGAAGCTGCGGGGAGCGCTGACGTTTCCTCTGAGCAGCCTCCCGGCCACATTCTCCTTGCATGGCCGTCGCCAGCCAGGATGCGAACGGAGAAACGAAAGCCAGAGAAAAACGCCCATATTTGGTACAGGTATCTTGAAAATCGTCTTTGCCGGCAGCGATCATTAGCGGTCGCCACGCAGCAATCACTGCCCCCGTAACTCTCTGCCAAACGAGCGACCACGGCCAAATTCAGCCCTTCAGGAATAATCGACCTCTGCCAGTTGCCTTTTTTTTCGACGGGAGCGGTACCTAAAGCGAGCAACTTGAACAGCCATTGCCCACCAAGCTATATTTGCCGTGCAAGCAGTAATTACCAGCGGCCACCATAGCAAACAACTTCTGACAGCTGTAACCATTTCCAGGGTAAGAGCCATTCCCATTCCCCGTGCGGTTCCCGGCTCATTCTGCGAAGGAGCATTATTTCCAACCAGTGCTATGCCGATTAATTAACACCACATTTATCTGGGCATTGCTGGAGACCGTGAAGAAGAAAAAGCGGCCCCTCTTCTGTTCTCCTGTGGTTTCACTGTGTGGAGGACCCTCATCCCTCAGGCATTCATCGCCGTCCACACACACACACATAATTCAGCCACACGAGGCGAATGCAATGCAGCCAAGTCACAGACAGGCTTATGTAATAGCCAGAGCGTACAGATCCATTTAATAAGGGAGAATGTCCGTAGAGAAGCCGTGGCCCACTAACACGCAAGTCACGGAGGCTGTGAATCACGGAGTCTCCCCTCTCCCCTCCCCACTTGTTTCCTTACCAGGCTGCTGGAATCACTAAAGAGAATTCTGTTTAGAATGAAAGTGAAGTTCTCACCACACCAGGAATAGGACATTGCTCATTGGCTGGGTTAGATCAATCCCCGCAGCTCCAGAGTCTCAGTTCTCCACAGGACTTGCTTACAGCCCCAAATATCTGGCTTCCAGTGAGGTCACTGCAAATTCTGCCTGCATCCAGGCGCAACAATAGGAAACAAAACTCCAGGACCAAAGGTACGGCAGTGATAATTTGAAGAAAACAAGCCTCCTCCCGAATAAACGAAGGGGACTGTAGATGCCATTTGGTGCTGGGATTTGATGGCATGTTGCTGAATATCGCACCTCACACCCAAAGACAAAGGGCTGTATTTTTGATCGCTGTAAAAAAATGCAAATTTTTCCCCGCGCCCGACCACCTCGATGCTATTTACATTTTCCACTGCAGTGTGGCTTCCCCTGCGGGGACTGTTTCGCATAAAGAAGCTCAAGGACATCTCTTTTACGATACAGAAGCGTTTAAAGTTTCACAGCTAATAACACAAGAAGATAAAAACTCCCTCCTAAAAATGTCCCCTGGTGCTATTTCCCAGCGACAGT